GGCCTCGGCCCCGGCCGAGCGACTCCAGCCCGGCCCCAGCCGAGCAGTGCCGACCGAGCACCCCTGGACCCGGCCCGGACCCAAACCCCGCAACCCCGGTCTGATTCCAGGAATCAGGCCCTGCTCTTGCTAAGGCCGGCCCTGATGAAATTAATAGGCAGCAGGTATAAAACAAATACAAGGAAGGGGAGAAGCTGCTTCTGCTGCCCCAACGCTGTCCCCAGGACACTGGCCAGGACGCCAGCCTCCCAGGGATGCCCCTTTCAAAGCCCAGCTCTCCGTACCAGACAGCCCCCCGCTAACCCTGGGCCGGCTGCCGGATGCTCAGCTGCGAATCCCCCAGCCTCGGCACTGGCTCCTGCAAACAAGGCAGCCACTGTGCCAGGGCCAGCAGGGAGAGCGCAAATCCCCAGTGTGGGGACCTGGGCCCACAGGTACAGCCCAGGCTGGACTGTCACTGAGCCGCCAGCATCCGTCCCTGCCCTGATTCCGCATGCTCACGGGGACCCGCCCCAGCCTGCCCCGGCCCATTCCCCCCGCCGATCGCTCAGCCGGGAACCCGCCCCAGCCTGCCCCGGCCCATTCCCCCCACCGATCGCTCAGCCGGGAACCCGCCCCAGCCTGCCCCGGCCCATTCCCCCCCCACAGATCGCTCAGCTGGGAACCCGTCCCAGCCTGCCCCGGCCCATTCCCCCCCGCCGATCGCTCAGCCGGGAACCCGCCCCAGCCTGCCCCGGCCCATTCCCTCCCCACAGATCGCTCAGCCGGGAACCCGTCCCAGCCTGCCCCGGCCCATTCCCGACCCCCCCAGATGGCTCAGCCGGAAACCCGCCCCAGCCACCTCCAGCGCTCCTCGCTCCAGGGGGTTTCCGGCTTGCTTTGCCTCCCCCCCGGTGCTGCTGTGCTCTCCATCCCCACCCTCGCATCAGGAGAGACGGTTCGTGTCTCAGCCTGAAGCTGCTGCTTGTACAGGGCAAAGGGGGTCAGCGAGCCCATTCCCGCTCGTCTCTGACACCTCTAGGCCCCGCCGTGTCCCTTCTCTGGCCACGCTGGTGGATACACAGGAGCAGGGCTTGTGGGGAACGGGTGCCTCCACACAGGGCAATGGCCTTGCGGCCGCACAGACACCCCCAACAGGCTCCTCGCACGGCAGGCCCATGTCAGTGCACTGGGCCAGCATGTGCCGTGCGAGGACAGTGCGAGGGTGGGGGCTCAGGGGAAAGGGCCAGTGCAAAGGCAGGGACTCGGAGAGAAGGGGCAGCGTGGGGGCAGGGCCTCAGGGGGAAGGGGTGGCACAAGGGAAGGGCTTCAGGGGAAGGGGCGGGGCTTCAGGGGAAGGGGCGGGGCTTCAAGGAACAGGGCTTCAGGGGGAAGGGGTGGCCCCGCCATGTTTAGGGGCCTTCTGCTGCTCCTGCTGCTAATCCAGCCCACGGCGGGAGAGGTGGGAGGAGAGTCTTGCCTCTGGCATTTCTCGTCTCGCTCTCACTGTTGTCTGGATGCCCCCAGCCCAGGGGGCTGCACTGGCTCCGCTCCCTGCCTCTAGTCCAGTTCCTGGCATTGTGTCTGCGGAGATACGTCTCTTGTTCACATGTACCATGAAAACTGCACGTGCCTGTGCACATGAGTGAGGCCCCACGGTCACCAGAGGGGAGCGCAGCAGCTTCAGGCTGAGACACCAACCGTCTCTCCCTGATGGGAGGGTGGGGATGGAGAGCACAGCAGCACCGGGGGGGCGGGGGGGGAGCAAAGCCAGCCGGAAACCCCCTGGAGCGGGGAGCGCTGGAGGTAGCTGGGGCGGGTTCCCGGCTGAGCGATCGGTGGTGGGGAATGGACTGGGGCGGGTTCCTGGCTGAGTGATTTGTAGAGTGATCTCTTCTCTTCTCTCTCTGCAGAGAGGCGGGCGCTGCCCCAGGAGGTGAGCAAGGCCCCACCGTCACCGGAGGGGAGCGCAGAGCACCAGGGCAGACAGCATGGCGCACAAGCAGGCAGTGAATGGACATGCCACCCCCACAGCTCACCCAGACGACACCCCAGGAGGGAGTCACTTCCATCAGGACATGCAGCCTGGCAAGCAGGGACAGAGGGGTGTGAAGCCCCACGGGGTCAGAGAGTCCCGGCCGGAGACCGGGACCATTGCTGGGGTGTACGTGGAGGCTTCCAAGAAGACAATGAGTTTTTATGATGCCACCAGAGAGCATTTCCTGATGTCTGAGCCAGCACTTGCTCTTCTGGAGGCTCAGGCAGCCACAGGCTCCCTCATTGACCCGGTGCGAAACAAGCGGCTCTGCGTGGCTGAGGCCGTGAGACTGGGGCTGGTGGGCCTGGAGCTGAAAGAAAAGCTGCTGTCTGCAGAGAGAGCAGCAACTGGCTTCATGGACCCCTACACGGATGAGAAGATCTCGCTCTATCAAGCCATCCAAAAAGAGCTGCTCGGGCGGGAGCAGGGCGCCCGTCTGCTGGAGGTCCAGATCGCCACAGGGGGCCTCGTGGATCCAGCCACCGGCCACCGCGTCCCCATGGAGGTTACCTACGAGCAGGGACGCTTTGGTGACGAGATGAGCCAGCTCCTTTCTGACCCCAGCTCTGCTGCTGCCAGAGGGTTTCTTGACCCAAACACCAGCGAGAGGGTCACCTATCGGGAGCTTAAGAAACGATGCATGATCGATCCGGCCACAGGGCTCCTCCTCTTGCCTCTGAAAATCACCTTCCCGGGGCTGAGAGGGAGAGTGAGCAGCAGTGAGTTGCTCAGCTCCAGCATCATCGACATGGAAACGTTCAGGGCCCTCCAGGAAGGCCGGGTCTCCGTCCAGGAGGTAGCAGAGATGGACCATGTTCAGCAGTACCTGGAGGGCACGGGAGGCATTGCAGGTGTTGCCGTACTGCCTATCGGTGAGAGGAAGAGTCTCTACCAGGCGCTGACAGAGCACCTCCTCATGCCAGGCACAGCACTGGCCCTCCTGCAGGCCCAGGCTGCCACTGCCTGCCTGACAGAGCCCACCAAGAACCAGAGACTCTCAGTTGATGATGCTGTCAAGGCTGGTGTGGTTGGGCCGGAGCTCTATGAGAAGCTGTCATCCGCTGAGAGAGCCGTCACTGGGTACCGAGACCCCTGCACTGGGGAGCTGCTCTCTCTGTTTCAAGCCATGAATAAGGGGCTCGTTGCCAGGGCCCAGGGGACTTACCTACTGGAGGCCCAGCTGGCCACCGGTGGCCTCATCGATCCAGTCCACAATCACCGTGTCCCAGTGGAGATGGCCTGCCAACGGGGCTACCTCGATGAAGAGATGAAGCGGCTCCTCTTCCATCCCACCCATGACATCAAAGGGTTCTTTGACCCCAACACGAAGGAGACCGTGATGTACGCAGAGTTATTGGAGAGGTGCGTCACTGACCCAGACACCGGTCTCCGCCTGCTGCCACTCTTCGGAGATGATGGGGAAGGGTCTCGGGGCGTGCAGTCCTTCATTGACCACAGGACCCGAATGGCTTTGGAAAAAACAACAGTACCTGTGGCCTGTGGCAAATTCAAGGGGAAGTCGGTGTCGCTATGGAAACTCCTCTTCTCAGACTACTTCACAAGTGCACAAAGGGCCACGCTTACCCAGCAGTGCCGCACCGCGACTCTCTCCCTGCAGGAACTGGCTAAGACCGTCAGCACCACCGTTCAGCAAATGGCTTCCACTGCCAATATCACCTTTGAAGGCCTGAGGCACAAGGTGACCCCTAGCCAGCTCCTGAGTGCTGAAATCATCAACAGGGATTTGTTTGAGAAGCTGAGCCAAGGGGAGACATCCGCCAGAGAAGTTGTCGGCATGGACACAGTCAGGAAGTACCTGGAAGGGACAGGCAGTATCAGTGGGCTGCTGCTGCCCGATTCCCAGGAGAAAATCAGCATCTACCAGGCAAAGAGGAAAGGCCTTCTAATGCCAGGGACGTCCCTCATCCTCCTCGAGGCACAGGCTGCCACTGGATTCATCATCGACCCAGCTGCAAACAAGAAATATTCCGTGGAGGAGGCTCTGCGAGCCAGCGTCATCGGCCCAGATATTTACAACAAGCTGCTGGCAGCACAGAAAGCAGTCACTGGCTACAAAGACCCCTACACCGGCAACAAGATCTCCCTCTTCCAGGCCATGAGCAAAGGCCACATTGTCAGAGACCATGGCATCCGCCTGCTGGAGGCCCAGATCGCCACCGGCGGCATCATCGACCCCGTGCACAGCCACCGAATCCCCGTGGAGGTGGCTTACAAGCGGGGCTACTTCGACAAGAAGATGAACTTGATCCTCTCTGACCCCAGCGACGACACCAAGGGCTTCTTCGACCCCAACACGCACGAGAACCTCACGTACTTGCAGCTGAAGGAGAAGTGCATCACAGAGCCCTCCACCGGACTCTGCCTCCTGCCTCTGAACAGCAAGAAGCGGCAGTTCATCAATGACACCACCAAACAAGCCTTCAGGAGCACGTGGCTCCTCGTGAAGTACGGGAGGTTCCGAGGAGAAAGGGTCTCCGTGTGGGACCTGTTGAACTCTGAGTATTTCAGCGAGGGAAAGCGGCGGGAGATATTTAATCACTACCAGCTGCGGAAGCTCACCCTGGAGCAGATCAGACTCATGTTGGAGGAAGAGATGAAAAAATGGGCCCACATCAAATTCCCAGCCATGAGAGGCAGCGTCACGGCCTACCACCTGCTAGAAACTGGCATCATAGACAAGGCCCTGTTCGAGAGGGTGCTGGAGGGAGCTGTGAGCCCAGAGGACGTCCTGCGCATGGACTCTGTCCGGAAATACCTCTATGGCTCCGGCAGCATTGGGGGGATCGTGCTCCAGCCATCAAACCAGAGAATGAGCATCTATGAAGCCATGAAGCAGAAGATTGTGATGCCAGGGGTGGCTCTCCCACTGCTCGAGGCCCAGGCCGCCACTGGTTTCGTCATCGACCCAGTGAACAACCAGAAGCTGTGCGTTGATGAAGCCGTAAGGGAAGGGGTTATCGGGCCAGAACTCCATGAGAAACTGCAGCACGCGGAAGGAGCTGTAATGGGCTATAAAGACCCTTTCACTGGGGAAAAGATCTCCCTCTTCCAAGCCATGAAGAAGGGCCTCATCGCCGACAAACAGGCTGTTCAGCTCATGGAAGCCCAAATTGCCACAGGAGGCATCATTGACCCCCACCGCGGCCACTATGTCCCTGTGGAATTTGCCCAGAAACAAGGCTACTTGGATGAGGACATGAGCAAAACTCTCTCTAGTGCCTCTGATAATACCAGGGTCTACTGTGTCCCCAACAGCAAGGAGCCTATGACCTACGCTCAGCTCATCACGCGCTGCCAGAAGGACAAAAACTCTGGTCTCCACTTGCTGCCTTTGCCACAGACAGCTGTGCCTGTCCGCACGGATGAACAGATCCAGCAGCTATTCAAGGAGACCATGGTGAAGGAGAAAGGGGTCTCCCTCTGGGAGCTGATCCACTCTGGCTACTTCACTGAGGAGCAGAGAAATGACTTTGTGGAGAAGTACCGGTCTGAGGACGTGTCTGTCTGGCAGCTGGTCACTCTTGTCCTGAAGCTTGTTGAGGAAATAGAGATGAAAGCCCATACCCACATCACCTTCGAAGGCCTGAGGGGCAGTGTGCCTGCCGTCTGGCTGCTCGATGCTGGCATCATTACCGAGAAGATGTTCGAGGATCTGGCTCAGGGAACACAAACGGCCAGAGAAATAGCCGAGATGGAGAGCGTGAAGAGATACTTACAGGGCACGGGGAGCATTGCTGGGATTTTTATACAGGCCTCCAAGAAGAGGATGAGCATTTACCAAGCAATGAAAAACAATCTCCTCCTGCCAGGGACAGGGGTGTTGTTGCTAGAGGCTCAAGCAGCTACAGGAGCTGTTATAGATCCAGTAACAAACCAGAAACTTGGTGTGGAGGAGGCCGTCAAAGCAGCCATTGTCGGTGAGGAACTCATGGAGAAGCTGCTTCTAGCAGAGAGAGCAGTGACCGGTTACACAGACCCATACACGGGGAACTCAATCTCAGTCTGTCAAGCAATCAGGAAAGGCCTTATTCCCATGAGCGATGGTGTTCCCTTAATAGAGGCCCAGCTGGCTACAGGAGGGGTCATCGATCCCATCCACCATCATCATCTTCCTCTTCCTGCAGCCTACATGCACGGCTTTTATGATGAAGAAATGAACCAGGCCCTATCCCAGCCCACTGACAACACCAAAGTCTTCTTTGATCCAAACACAAAGGAAAACTTGACCTACCAGCAGCTGAAAGACAGGTGTGTCCCTGATGCTGAAACAGGCCTCTGGCTATTACCTCTGTCTGAAACTGCAGCATTCTATGTGGACAAACAAACCATGGAGGTGCTGAAATCTGTGACAGTCTGTGTAGCAGTAGGACGGTTCAAAGGGCAGACAGTTTCCCTCTGGGACCTTCTCAACTCCGAGTACATCACAGACTGCAAGCAGAGAGAGCTGGTGGGATTATACAAAGAGGAGAATGCTGTGGCCCTGCAAGAAATCACCACCAGCGTTAACACAATCATTGAAGAAACTGAGAAGCAAGGCAAGAGGTTCACGTTCAAGGGCCTGCGGAAGCAGGTGTCTGCCAGTGACCTCTTCCAGTCTCAGCTGATAGACAAGAAAACCCTGGATGAACTCAAGCAGGGACAGAAAACTGTCAAAGAAGTCACAGAGATGGACTCCGTCCGGAGATACCTGGAGGGGGGTAACTTCATAGCTGGAGTGTTAGTACAGCCAGCCAAGGAGAAGATGAGCATCTACCAGGCTATGACGAGAGGAATGCTGAGGCCGGGCACCGCGCTGGTGTTGCTGGAGGCGCAGGCTGCTACCGGGTTCATTATTGACCCGGTGAAGAACAAGAGGCTGTCAGTGGAGGAGGCACTCGCTGCTGGGCTCATTGGACAACAGGTCTATGAGAAGCTGCTGTCTGCAGAGAGAGCGGTGACCGGCTACACTGACCCCTTCACAAAAGGCCAAATCTCCCTCTTCGAAGCCATGAACCAGGGGCTTATCCTCAAGAGCCACGGCGTCCGCCTGCTGGAGGCCCAGATCGCCACCGGCGGCATCATCGACCCCGTGCACAGTCACCGCCTCCCCGTGGAGGTGGCGTACAAGCGGGGCTACTTCGACGAAGAGATGAACCGCATCCTCTCTGACCCCAGCGACGACACCAAGGGCTTCTTCGACCCCAACACTCACGAGAACCTCACCTACCTACAACTCCTGGAGAGATGTGTCCAAGACCCTGAGACTGGGCTGTACATGCTCCAAATAGTAAAGCATGGGGGGACATACTTCTATATCGATGAGTCAATGAAACACTTTTTACGCTCAAAACCCATTAAAATGCAAGTTGGGAAGTTCAAAGGCCAAACAGTGTCCCTCTGGGACCTGCTCTGCTCTCAGTACATCTCAGAACAGAAAAGAAAAGAACTAGTGAAGCAATATAAATGTGAAACCCTCACAATAGAACAGCTCATCACAGTCATCACCACCATCATTGAGGAAATGGAACTCAGAACCCAAGCCCTCAAGGTTAAAGGCCTCAGAGGACATGTATCTGTGTCAGAGTTATTCAACGCTGAGATAATTGACAAGACAACACTGGACAATCTGCAAAAAGGAACTCTCACAGTCCATAAACTCACACAAATGGACTCTGTCAAGAGGTATCTGGAAGGAACTGGCTGCATTGTTGGAGTTCTGCTGCCAGCCAAGAAAGAGAAGATGAGCATCTACCAGGCCCTAGAGAGAGGTCTCCTAACACCAGAATCAGCGCTGGTGCTGCTGGAGGCGCAGGCTGCCAGCGGCTTTATCACCGACCCGCTGAAGAACGAGAAGCTGTCCGTCGATGAAGCCGTCTCCGCCGGCCTGGTGGGCAGTGAGATTCACGAGAAGCTGCTCTCTGCAG